TCTCTCTCTCTCTATATATATATATATATAGAGAGAGAGAGAGAGCGAGAGAGAGAATCTATATAAATTGAAATAAATAAATAAATGACCCATGAATTATGATATATAACAAACTAGATTTTAAAAATAGCCAGTAGTATTGGAAAATTGTACATAATTATCTGTTTTTCTTTATGTTTGCCTAATTACTTTGCTGTACTTGCAAGCACTTCAGATGGCATCCAAAGCAAAAGCATATACACTGCCTGTGTGTGTGTATACACGCGCACACACACACACACACACACTCTCAAATGTGCATTTTTAGATGTAGCAAGTCAGGCTGTTGCATGAACCTCATCACCTTTTGATCATTCATGCATTTCACTGTTATAATACCATTGCTGATTAATAGCTATTTCTAAAAAATTTGATACATATGATTAACAGAATGTGCAAAAAAAAAAAAAAACTGTGCTCACAGAAGCAGTACAGTTCATGCTACACACTTTTTCCCAATAATTTTTCACTGTGTTCATGCTTAAATTGTTATTTTCAGCTTCACTGAGATTTTTAAGGTCCAGTTATATTTTTAAAATGTATTGCATTCACTCCAGGTACTCATATAATTACCTAGTCTACCTTGGCTCACACGTTGTAATATCTGGATGACTAATTTAACACTTTAAAAATTTTGGAGGGAAATAGTACCCAATTTCAAATACTCTGGTTTTTTCTCAATTGTCAGATTGTGTTTAGCTGAGGGAGTTTAACAGGCTATATATCTCCATTTCCCCAGGATGCACACATCGGGGGAGAGGGATGATGAGGGACAGGAACTTGATATGTATGTTAAATAAACATTTTTTTAACAGGCCCTGGCACTCTGTCCTTACCATTCCTGCCATCTCTGAAGCATGACCAAATTATTAGTGGGAACTGTATCTGTGCATCTTAACAATAATGGAGGTTCTTTTTTCCAATTGCCATGTAGTGAAGTCTGAGTTCGGTTTATGTACTGTAGTTTCAGTTTGATGAATTCATTATTTTCTATCTTCTTCTTTCACTACTTCAAATCAGAATGTTTGCCAAATGGCGGGTAGGTACGTTTCCCATATTAACCTACCCTTAATATTTGTTTCCTCTGATCTTTAGTTTCCACAGAAATGCCACAGGCCGTAATCATCAGTTTCAGGTATGTATCCATATATATATACACACACACACATACCATATATACATACCTGTTACGCTATTCCCTTTCAAGGTAAGCAATACTATGCAAGTGGAGTAAGTGGAGTAAGAAATAGTAAGTCAAAGAAATTAAATGGAAAAATTTAAATTAAATTGAAAGAATTAAATTGAAAGAATAAATCTTCTGTTGAAAGAAATTAATTGCATGACATAACAAAAAGAAATGTAACTAAATGTGGTTTACAGCAACAATATTCCCTATGCTTCTCTGTACCTTTCTATCTTTGCAAAGCATCCTTGGCTCTACCATGCCCATACATTGCTTTTTGTTCTATAATCCTCTCTTTCTTTTGGATTAACCCAGTAACTCCATGATGATTTTCTCAGTCATCCTCTTCCTTTTGACCCATTCACTCTTCCTTTACCTATTTGTCTTTACGTATTTGTCTTTACATATTTGTCCATTACATATTTTATCCTCATTCATTCTCTATTTGATCAACCCACCTCAGTATATTTCTTTCGCACTGGTCGTTCACTTTTCTGTTCAATCAGCACCTACTCTCTTGATTCTACCTTTGTTTGTTTGTTTTATGACAAAAAACTTCTGAAGTAATCCATTCCCATTGCATTCAACTTACTTTTTATATTTTTCCTGATAAAACCATGATTGGTTGCAAAGGTCAGTATCTATGAGACCACCATGGCATATGGAAGATTGCAGCTTGGAATTTAAGGGGAGTAAATGATAAAGAGCATCTGTTTTATGCATACTTCAATATGTATTTAATTGGTTATATTGAGAATTTGCAACTGACAGCCAAGTGAGCTTTATCCGAGTCGACAAACGCTTTTGGCAGGTTCTCCTTTAACCCTGTTTTAATACACTTTTCACTTTTTAAATTGTTTCTACTAAGCCACAAATTTTAGTTTCAATCCTACCTAGAAATAAAATTTATAATTAACTTCAAAGTTATCTCAATATATCTGACTATTTTGGCATCAAGTACAAAGATAATTAAGATACATTGGATCCCACAATGGTAACTTATATTTTTCACTGAATTATCAGGAAGCTCTGGAGGAAGAGAGGAGGGAGCAAAACAAGAAAAAGCAATTGCCTGGGTGAAGAAAGTGGAACTAAAATACTGCAGGATAGTTGGTCTCATGATTTTGAATAGCAAAAAAGAGAGATGCAAACTTCATTTATTAAAAAAACATTACATATATTTCAAATATATATAGAATTACAGCCTGATGCACATATATAGTAAATCTGTAGTTATGCTACCTTCAGCTGTGCAGAGACTGCAGGAAGCAGAGTCCAAAATGATTGAGAATTCTTCCGCTAAGGGCGAATCTCAAAGCTTATAGATGACTCTCTCTTGATTTTTCTACACTACTACTTAATGCCATTTGCTTATCATTCATTGTGAGCAGAAACTTTCTGTACTAACCATGAAAAACTCCTATTTGAAAAATTATTCAAAGCTAGGACATACATTCTTCCTAAGATTCACTGTTATCGTGACTACAAAGGTAAATTGGAACAATATTTTCTTTTTGTTTTAAGTTATTTAGGGATATGCTCATTTGGAGAAGATTATACAACAGGTCTGAATAGTTCCTCTCTTAGAAGACTAAGAGAGGTTACAGCAGTCCAGACATGCAGTGCAAAACTTAGTTTTGGAGAAGCACCTCTAATTGTGTACAATAATAAACATATTCTCCAATGAATCTACTGGTAACAGCAATTTTTAGCTCCTCCTCACAAACAATTCTGTACAGTCGGCACTATAGTGTATCCTGGTATGTGTAACGACTGAGTTGCTGGTTATTAGGATTTATCGATATTCTCAATAGTTGCTAGCTAGTGAGAATGTTATGACAAAATTCTCCTCTAAATCAAACATCATCATACATCATAATATATGAGAGTTCTGAATAATTTCTTCAACTGTAGATCTACTCAAGAGAAGGGCTCTTTTACTCATATGGCCTTATTCCTTCCTCACATGCTTACCTGCTTGTAAGGAATAGGGCTATATTCCCTCTCATTCATACAACTTCCAGTAGGTGATACCCCCTACCAGGTAGCTTACCTCCTGAGTACTGTATATCTGTTCATGTCTTAGGAGGAGGGCATTCTCTTTCAAGAAGCATTGGGGAGCTTCTGATGCAAGTGGCACCCATGTTAACAAGATACTTAACCATGCAATATGGCCCCAGGAAAAAACAAAACCCTCAGAAAATAAACCAAGTCAAGTCTGGATGATCACAGATATTAAATTGGCACATGCATACAGAGACTGCATCTGGATATACAAATAGTGTGTAAGAGAGAAAGAGCCTTATCGTATCTATTTAATAAAGTTTTGCTCACAGATCTTAAGTAAATTAAGTCTCATTCTTTGCTATGGATTTTCTTCCACTCACAACAGCCTTAATAATTCTCCTTTACAGTATGTCAAACTGAAGTCCTATTTTATAGAGCTTCATTGTGAAAAATTACTACTGCTGGAATATAAATTTGAATCATATATATGGTATTCTATTTTTGTATTTATTTTTCTCCACCATCTATATTAGATGTTTTGTCAGAAAAATTCAGATTAATGGATAACACTTGAGGATACTGAATTTTGCAAATGATTATGGACTGTAGCTTAGATTTGTTGGAAAGGCCAATAAAGCTGTTTTAGGAATTAAAGGGGGGGGGTGTAGAGCTTATTGTTATGACTCCTAGTAGTAATAGTAGTTATTGTTTTGTGCTACTAACAAACTGCTAGGCTTAACTATTCCTTTGTTTGTATTAGTGAGTCACTAATTTGTGCAGCTTGATCTACTGAGTGTAACATCACAAAGGTACTTTAGATGTATTTATTTTAATTAACCAAGCAGGATACCCAGCCTTTCTTCTTCTCCCTTTACTAGTTTTAGTAAATTTTGCAGGATAATTTGGTATCTAATAGTTGACTTGTATGTGCTTGTTCTTCATTCAGGTTTATGCAGATCAAACCTGGACAGAGATAGCTGCTAAACTACAAGTATTATATCTGATGAAACAGTTACCCCAACAGGTAAAATAGGAAGTTTTAATATATTTGCTTGCTATGTTAGCTGCCCAGAGTCACTATTAGCAAGTTGGGCAGCCATGTAACTTATTTAAAGGAATAAATAACCCTCCAAAGGGGATTGTGTTGTTGCTGTTGACATAATCCTAAACTTTTAAGTCCCATGAAACATACCTAGAATATTCCTTAAAACCTGAAGCCACTGATTGGACATTATAGAATATTCCAATTTTCTTGTATATAATCTATGTTTATTTTTGTAAAATGTTTTAAGTTGTGATAGTAATATATTCTTGGTTTAGTCTCTCTGAAGACCTTCTCTTATATACTCAGTAGATTCCAGATATTCAGAGGCTGTGAAATCATTGGGGCAAAACAATAAACATACCAAATGTTTTACTTGTACAGGTAGTCCTCATTTAGTGCCTGCAATTGGTTCTGGCGAAATGGTTGCTAAGCAAATCACATGACTGAGAGAGAGATGCTGCAAAGATTGCTGTTTGCTGCCCTCTCATTCAGGTAAAGCTCTGTCATACAGTGTCCTGTGCCTGACCTGTTTGCTTTCCTTTTTTTTTTTTTTTGCCCCCTCACAGGATGAAGAGATTGATTAAACAAGCTATATTTTCCTGAGTTGCTTTTCTTCATAGCCCAGTGCTTCCCTAAAACTAACTGCAAGTTAATAAGCTCAGCTCTGTGACCTTAATTAGTACCCTCTGGTTAGCTCTGCTGCCTGAAACTGATCAGACCTTAATCAGTTTCACACTGAAGGCTTTTGTTGCGGTAAATGCATGTATTAGTCAGAAAATGATTTTTTTAATACTATTACCATGCTATTTGCAAACAGTTGCTATCCAAGGCAGTTGCTAAACAAGGACTACCCATACATATTTCCATTCCACCATTTTAGGTAAGATATATTCTTTTTGTAAAATTTTAAAAGTTCTGAAAATCATTGGTCCTTTCTTCTTGATATTTATTCTGACCAACAGTTCTCCAGATTTAGGCAATAGCTTTTCCTCAGCCTAAACAGACATGCCAGAGATTGAACCTGAAAGCTTTTCAAGGCAAGACGTGTAATTTAGTGTTGCACTAGAGGTGTTCCTCCAAGTATTTTGTAATTTATCCCAGGATGGCTGCTTATGGGTATGGCCCTCCATTTCTTACCCATATGTCATGCTAAAATTAATCATCTGGATTTGAACTTTCATATCTTGAGGGGACAATGATTATTTCCAGGTTACATTTCATTCTTGCATTTCACATGCCAGTAACAATGCTTTATAATAGGGGTGCAAAATATGCATTCCAAGGGCTACATGTAATCCATTCATCCTTTGCAACCTAAAGCTCAATGGGCTCAATATTTTGGCCATTTTGGGGGTGGCTTAAAAGGCAAAATGAGTACCTCTAAAACTTTCCAACCCCCCAGAAATTTAGCCCTGGCCTTGCCTGCTTATGGAGTGCAGCCTATAACATGCTACACAAAGCCTGATGTGGCCCTTTAATTTTAAAAAGTTATGTACTTCCATCTTTGGAAGAGGTTAGAAATCTAAAATATATCTAAAAAAGTGACATCTCCATTTTTAAAGAGGGTTATTAAAAGCTTAAAGATACTGGATTAAAAAAAACAATAGTTTTACAAGTTTTCATTCATGCTTTCTTTATGCCTTTTAATGGTTTCCCAGTATAACTATAGTTTTATCAGCAACAATTGTTTGATTCTGAGATAATTATGTCTTTAAAAAGCTTACTAGCTTTTAGCGATTTCCTCAGAGACCAGGTTACCATAAATAAAGGTATGAACAAACAAAAGCAATCCAATCTGATTATCCATGTGTAACTATCAAAACAGAACTAAGCTTTATAACAAACATTAAACTTCTGCCAAATTCACCTCTACCACACCCATAATGTAGTGATGCAAAGAACTATGTCTCAATAGCTTGTTAATTTTGTCACAGCCCCATAGTCTTTGTATGTGAATGCCAAGTATGCTGAATACACCCGTTGTTGTTTTTAACGTCACTTACTCAGGATGTATCTGTAATGACCCAAGAGCTTCTGAGTTCTACCTTAGCTTCAATAAGTGAATAATACTTGAAGCCCAATTCCTTCATTAACAATGAGGTATGGAAATATTAGTTTTGACTAATATTTGAAATAACCTAATGCATCTTTCTAGATATTGCCCTTTATACCCAATTTTAAGTCTGGAATGTTACTGAATACACTTTATATGCTAGTGAACCATGTACAAAATGATTATTATGTTCTATTCCAATTCAGAGACTACTAGCATTAGTAATTGATATTTTTCCTTCCTTGGTTCTTAGTATAGTACTTTATGCTACACTCTAAGCTTCCCAAAAACACAAAGCAAAGCTTCTTATTGCAAGTTTTAATTGCCTTTAACAACTACCATAATTCTGTAAGGTTTAGTGCTCAGAATGATCAAGCAGGATTTTTCTCTATATATTTAAAAGATTATAATATAAAGCTGTCACAGTGACTAAATTTCCAAGATACCAATATTGTAATAAGAAGTATTTCATTAATATACATGCACATTATACAGCAAAGCAACTCAACACAAACTGGAAAAATCTGAGTCTAGAATTTTCTATTGGATACAGTATATTAAAAATAAAACTATACAAAAAATTAGTTACTCTACACTATCAGCATGAAAAGACTTTAAGAGACAATGAGAAATCTCTGAGGCATATGAAAATTGTACAGTGAAATCAAAAGCAACACATAAAAAGCTAATTGAGCATCTGAACCAGAGGAAGGCATTACAGAGGATATTAGAATGAACTGTGTCTTAGAGTCTAATTTTAAAAGAGTATTCCCTTAGGCTGTTAAATAGTTTAAAAACAGATAATTCATTCAGTGAAAACTGAATCCTTTCAAAAATACAGTTCAAGCACGGCTAGATGGACTTTTGGTAGCCACGGATTGCGTTTAACATTCCTGTTGAGGGTCAAGAGTCATAGGGACATGAGTCAATAATGCAAAGCTGGTACAGCAATGTCACGTGCATAAAGATGGGATTTTGGCAAGGGAGGGCTCCTTTTTTTGAGAGGGTAATAATCCTAATCCTATTTTCTCTTAATAATAGCTCCACTCTGGATCAAGAGACTGGGAAGAAAGATGGAGAGGGGCTTAGAAAAGAGCAGTTGTCAATATTCTGAGTCAATGTCCAACTGCTTCTCCTTTAAGATTGCACTAAAGGTCCCCCCTCCCCCTGCTTTGCAGCTCCTAGCTAGAATTTGATCTTTCTTTGGCCAGCTTCTTCTCCCCACTCCACATTTGGTCCCATTAAGTCCAGTTTTCAGAGAGTTATCTTGCTGATATACAGAGCCCTGAGTCCCTTTACATAATTTATTTCCAAGATTCTGTTGTACTGAAATATTTAAAAGAGTTAACTCTGGGTGACTGTAGGTTCTTTACTAGTTGTGTGGAAACACTAGCAAAACTAATAGAAAATCTGAATTATAAAATTTATGCAATGACTTGTACAAACAAAATCAAAATATTAGATTTTACTCTTCTGTAAGATTTTTAATTTATTTAATTTAATTTAATTAAAAACTAATTTTAATAGCTTAAATAGTTTAAATCCAGAGGACATACTGCAAAACTGTATCCACACGCAGTCAAAATCCATGAATAACAATCAACAGATATGTGGGATATCTTCCCAGCAGTTAATAAAAGCTGCATTTAGATTATTAAAAATCACCAGTTTAATTAAAGTAATATACTGTCTGAACAACAAAAGGATTAATGAAAACAGACTCCAGTACCATAGGACAGAATCTTTTATATCCCTGTGGAACTGTTCAATTGTAACTTCTCCGAATGTTTTTCCCATAGCAACACTGACCCCAAAAAAGAGAAAAGATTGATTTCAGTCATGATCAAAACATCAAAAAAGGTAAGTTAAGAAACTCACAGAATCTTTTATTTCACAGGGAAATGAGCTTTTTCATATAAGAGTGTTTTTTACTTTGAAATGGAAATATGAACATCTAAAATTGAAATATACTAGGGCAGAACTCATACTAGGAAAGCTAAATATGTAGCTCAACCATTTATTTATTTTAGCACAAAGTTTTGGATATAAATATCCATTATCATTTTTATTCAGAACCACTAATACTGGAAACTATTACATACATACATATATACATATAGTACTGCTCTCTGCAGAACTCTTCTAATGCCCAGTAGAGGGGAAAAAAACCCTTCAAGATGATAACCATTTCTTTATGGAGGAAAATGATTTTACAGAAAAGTATTTATGCATCTTTATTTCCTTCATTCTTCCTGAATTAATGTAAATATATGCATATCATGCATACATTGGGTTACATTTTTATTGACAAAACATATGTATAGAGTTATTGCAGGTGTCCTTCTAGTCCAAAATCTCATTCATATCCTGCACATCTGAATGCTGAAAAATGTAGCAACAAAAACATGGAGAGCAAATGAACCCTGCCTCATGTAAAATGTAAGAACAGCGTTATCTTTCTTTGTCCCGCAATGTTGTGAAGCATTCTGCTCTGGAGGAAGGGCTGTGGATACAGTTTCACAGTATTTCCTCTAGAACTGCAGGTGGGACAGGTTCCAACTGGCAGGATCTCCACCCTGTTCCATCTCTCTGCTTCGAGGATTTCCCCTTGATTTCAAAAGCGAAAATGGCATTTTCCCACTCTTTCCTATTGCTCAAGGGAAGGTTTTGCCACCATTT